TATATATATATATATATGTATGTATATATATATTAATACATATATATATATATATATATAATATATATATATATATATATATACATATATATATGTATATATATACACACATACATACATACATATATATATATATATATATATATATAATATATATATATATATATATATATTATATATATAAGACCATACATAGAAATTGCTGATTATTTATTTACTTCCTTATTCCACCGCCTATATCAAAGACGAAACCAAAGTGCCCAAGAGGCGCCCCGCACGCTCCCTCATTCCCAAAGCAAACCCAATTTTCCAACCCGGCAGCGACAGCTTCGCCACCCAGCCAAGTGTCTCCCTCGCACCTGCCATTCAGCTCCGCCAGCTCCGCCTTCTCCTCCGCCGTCAGCTGAGAGAGACCCGCTGCCCGTTGCTCCAAGGTCGACTCGGCGGTGAGGGCGCCCCGCCGCCGCACGCGCCGGCCAGATCAGGGTGCGAGCGGAGGATGCCTTCCTGCCCTGGCGAAGGAACGACGGCCATGGAAAAGGGGAAATGAATCTGGTGGGAGACTGGTGGATACGGAATGAGAGATAGATAGGTAGATGAATAGGAGACATAGATGGGTAGATAGACAGATAATTGGTGAGATAGGTAGATGCAGAAGACTGATAAAGAAAGAGAGAGAGAGAGGGGGGGGGAGAGATAAAAGGGTTGGGCACAAGACTGATAACAAGACCTGGTACATTACCATCCCCGTCACTTGTAAGCTTTGTAAGTTTGATTATCAAAACACGTACTTACTTATCATTCAGTAAGCGGCGTGTAGACACAGACAATAATTTTGCCTATTATTCTGCTGAAGGGAGATTTTTAAAAGTTGTTTTTTTATTTTCTTTCTTCGGTGATTCTTGCAGTCAGCTGAGTCTAGACTATTGTTAACACTCATCAAATGTGCAATAATACTCTCTCACAAAATAATGAAAGAATAATGGCTTGATAAATATCTCTATTATTAGAATAGCATTATAATACCATTGGGTTAATAAATGTCTTTTTCAATACGCTCTCGTCTTCTAATTCCTGATACTGCTGAGCTGTGCTTCAGAATAAATTGAAAGAGCACTACGCTCCGCCTGGATCAACAGTGCTTTCGCAACTCGGATGCTTCCCTGGTCACTGTTGGTACGAAGTTCAAGACGAGAATAAAATGCAAGAGAACTTTGGCATTCGAAGGAGGTGGGACAGGTGACTTTTACGTAGGAACTTTCTTTGAATCATTTTTTGAAAACGACGATGATTAAGGACACATCATTTTAGCTCGGCATATACATTTCATCCGAGGTTTGCTTTGTTGAGCACGAATATCCGGCGTATGAGGAAATTAATGTAATGGGAAATGCCGGCGGTGGATTGTAGTATGTCAATTAATCTGTATCAATATATATGGATGTATATATGTATGTATGTAAATACATACACACATATACATATATATATATATACATGTGTATATGTATATATGTATATCTGTATTTACATATATGTATACATATGTGTATATATATGTATATATATATATGTGTGTGTGTGTGTGTGTGTGTGTGTGTGTGTGTATATACATATATATATATATATATATATATATATATATATATATATATATTATATATATATATGTATATAGGGAGTGAGGAAGTTAATGAGTGAGGAGTTATTATATATAAATATCTATCTATCTATCTATATATATATATATATATATTATATATTTATATATATGTATATATATATATGTGTGTGTGTGTGTGTGTGTGTGTGTGTGTGTGTGTGTGTGTGTGTGTGTGTGTGTGTGTGTGTGTGTGTGTGTGTGTGTGTGTGTGTGTGTGTGTGTGTGTGTGTATACAATATATATACGCATATATATATATATTATATATATATAATATATATATATATATAAATATATATATATGTGTGTGTGTGTGTGTGTGTGTGTGTGTGTGTGTGTGTGTGTGTGTGTGTGTGTGTGTGTGTGTGTGTATGTGTGTGTGTGTGTTTATGCTTATATGCACACAAACACACACACACACTAACAAGCCCATGTTAGTGTGATAGTGTAAGGGCGTGTGCGTGCGTGTCGAGGCAACTTAATCCCCTGATCAGAGATCCGGGCAAACTGGCCCAGACGACGAGCGGAAGCCACTTGGCAACGACTCCATACTTTACCCGAGACAGGTAGGCCATCCACGAAGGAACACAGCGCCTCGTGAAGGTGGACCACATCTTCAAAGGGTCGGAACCTCCACACCGCGGCGGCGATCAGCGAGCAGTTTTCGATTGCATTTCCGAAGTGGCTTATGAACTCTTCGTAGTCCATGGCGTTTATGTCGTCTATACTTTTCGGATTCGCCATCGTCTCGCGCTCTGCCCTGAGAGGCGGTGCGTCGTGCTGCGAGGAGAGACGCCCCGCGACTGGCTCTTACGCAGCTCGCGGAGGGACACTGGGCAGCCCTCTTCTCTCTCGCAGTCTATCTCTCAATCACTCTTTTTTTCTCCCTCCCTCCCCCCTTCCCCATCTCTAAATCTACCAATCTTTTTCTCTTTTCGTCTCTCTCTCTCTCTTATTCTATCAATCGATTCCTTTCTCTTTCCGCGCTCTCTCTCTCCCTCTCTGTTTTTTTTTTCTTTATCAATCTCTTTCTCTTTCTCTATTAATCTCTTTTTCTTTCTCTCTCTCTCTCTCTTTATCTCCCTCAGTCTATCAATCTCTTCCTCTTTCCGTCTCTCTCTCTTTCTCTGTCTCTCTGACTCTCTCTCTCTCTCTCTCTATCGCCCACATTCTTTCCTTCTCTTCCTCTTTCCGTCTCTTCCTATTCCCCCCTCTCTCTCTCTCTTTCTTTCTCTCTCACTCTTTTTATCCCTCCCCCCCTCTCTCTCTGGGTGTTTATGTGTACGACTGAGTTCTCTTAATCATACTCCTATATTAGGATGGTCTGCTTGAACAAGTCTGAGGGCCTTGACTCATGTTCTTTTCGTAGGTATTTGCTCTTATAAATGTTTATTGGTTTGTGCGTAAAATCCAACTGCTAACTGCGAATTATTTGAAAATAGGACAGTTCTATCATCGAGAGGGTCAGTATTTTGCCTAATTGTTATAATCCTGAAGACTAAAGAAAATTAAATTGCTGATAAATACCTCTCAAGACACCTGGCCGATTCTACCTGCATCACACATCTGTCAAAACTCTGTGACATGCCTTCCCGCTTATTGTACAAAATCTCTTTTTTAGATGTAATCTATACTGATTAAATGAATGATTGGTGGATACTTTTCGTGTAACCACCTTTAGTTACCTCCAGCCCATGGCTATGTGCGCTAATTATACTGCAATTGTCTCTATCCTTTTGTAGAAAGTAGGTAATCTAGACTGCAATGACTTATGAAAACCCCAAATCCATTTTTAAACGAAACGTTGCAACGTTCAAAAGCACAGGCGCAGTAGTGATCCTTTGCGAGATATCTTAGTGACTGTCCGTGTGTCGAGATGGTCGTAATCGTCCGTCTTGTTTTCCGCTGTGTGCATAATCGTTGGAACGCAAGGACGTTCATTCTCTTGAACCACGATACCAGTTTTATTCAAAACATCACGCGTGACTCGCCGTCAACAACAGTTCGAAATTTGTCACTGGCTTTAGAATTATTACTCTAATGAAAAATGACACAGTTGACTAAATTTCACAGGTCTTCTTACTATTATGTCCTTACCCATCCATACCTCTCGTTCAGCTGAGTGGTAGATTCAGAAAATCTAGACCATAAGTCAAAGCTGTATGGAACGTTCATTGTGGAAACACGTTTTGCAGCATTAGGCAATAACAACAATTTGCCTGTTTTTTTTTTTTTTTTTTTTTTTTTTTACCATTTATACCCAATGGAAGACTAGCCGACCCAAGTGTAGCATGGCCAGCGCTTTCTCTGCAAGATGCTTAACAGTGCGTTTCGTATTCCTTATGTAAATTACAAGCAAAGATCACGTTGGAATGAGCAATTGAGGGCTCTCGCATGGTCGGCACGCGTGTCCCGTAGTCGCTGCAGAGCCCAGGCAATCGGTGTCAGGAACACCATATCTTCAGCATAATCCAGGTGATTAATACACTTTTCTCCCACGCAACAGCCCGGACCCATAGTTTATATCAACTCGCAGCAAAGTCATGTACTCACCAAAGAGGCGTGGCGAGACAAGTCCTCCTTACCTGTCCCTTTCCCAGTGCCATCAGAAACCAGCCAGTGCTCATTCTATGAACAGAATTACAGTGAAATGAAAACGTATTAGTTGTATGGCGTATGTCATTATTTTCTCAGCTATTAAAGATGTGCCTCTTATGACGTGTACACTACTCACCAGTCATATACAAAACTGAAAATAGCACAGCTACAGGAAGTAAAAGTAACACGAGTATTCGCACAGTTCTTTTCTCAACACAGCTTCGATCACATTTGACCAATGAGGCATCTGAAACCTACCAGATTGGAAATACGACAGATTTCATGCACCCTCTGACTTTTTAAACACTAGATTTGGAGGTTAACCAAGTGTGGGAGGCTATGCGTCACCCATTTTTTTTTTATTCATCTTTACTCACACGCACAAGACTGCTTAAAGACGCAATGCTGGCCAGAGGACACTACTCTTAACTTTGATAGCTTTATTAAGATCATTCATGCGGAGGTACTTTTTACTTTTTACTACAGAGTATCTTTTTTTCCTCTACACGCAGAGAAAGTTCGACTGATGGCCCGTTTAAATTAATTTTTCTGCCAGGTAGGCTTCGAAGCTCTCCATAGCATTTTACAGGACATGTAAGCCATTCTAATCGTAGATTCTTAGTCATATAAAATGGTTTACTAGATTTATTTAGTCTCGAAAGTTCATTATAGCAATAAACATGTAATAAAGCACAACTTTTATTTTCAGTGTATGCTTCACGGTTCATCGCTCATTTAG